ACGGTGCATCAGTCTCTTTCTTTCGCAGGTTCGATTCGTCCCATCCCGTCCCGTCACGTCAGATCCCTAGCCGTTCGAGCCAGGTGCAGTCCGGTTCCATCGCGTCCCAACGTTCCGTCCCGCAACGTCTGTCAGTGGTGCGCTCGGCTCTTTCGACGCGAGATATCCGCAGGCTCTTCCGGTTTGCCGTGAAGACCGGAAATTTTGAAAGTTCGCTGCTCCGCCGAGATTCCGTTCCGCGCGTCGGTTTCGCGTTCGTCTCGAGCGACGAGCTGTCGGGCAAAATCGCGACAGGATCGCGACGTATGTGCGTGCGTGCGCGCGTTCGCGGTAAACGCGCTCGATGGATATCGCGAGGAGCCGTGGCCAAAATAACGGCGATCGACGATCGCCGATCGAGCTGTGAGTTTACGCGTCCTGTGCAACTCGTCGCGTCGGATTAACGCCATGTCGTCCAGTTCGCTCTTTTACAAGGATAAGTACGCGGTGAGTAGAAACAGAAACGGTCCTCGGCTTTCGAATCCGTGCTTTTCCTTCCCTTGCTCGCGCTCTCCGCGCTCTCCGCGCTCTCCGCGCTCTCCGATCGAGATCGATCGATGCTTTCGCGGTGCTTTCGGCGCGTCGCGCGGCAAATCCTCCCCGTGCGCTCTTTTCTCTCATTTTTCCGAGAAATTTGACCAGCGGCCAATTAACGAGTAACGCGCGCACGTGCACGCATCTAAATATTTTGAGGGATTTCGTAGGCTTTCTCGATCGCGCGTCGCCGACTTTGGACTCCGAGCACTCCGAAATGTCGAAGCGAATACGTATTTACGATCTACCGTTCTCGACGCGGAGTCGTCGAACAACGCGAAACGTGGGACCGGTCTTCGATTTTTCCGATCGTCGAGCGATACACCGAACTGCAACGTTATTCGGTTCGTTGGCTCGTTTCTGCGATCGTGAAATGGCCGGATCTAGGTCGAATAAATCGCGATAGAAAAAGATAACAAGCGCGAGGCGTGCACGATGGATGATGCGTCGATGACGCGTCGTCGGCTTACCTCGCTTCGCTCCACCTTGTTGTTCGACAATTATCCCGGAATGACTGCGTAGTTATAGATGGACAATGACTGCGTTTCGCGTGTCCGATGAAAACCGATCATCGCGCGAGCGTTACGGCGGAGTAGAAAAGGAGATGAGATTCGTTACAAGGTTTTCCTTGCTACCTTTTCATCGTCTCGGATCGGTTCGGTTGTTTTAGGTTGTCGGATCCGCAATGCCATTGTCTCTCTCTCTCTCTCTCTCTCTCTGTACGTACTCCTCTCTATCCGAAGAAGGCGCGATTCCCCGCGAACAGGTTGTTTCCATTCTGAAATCATCCGAGCGTGCCGATAGATATCATCTCCGACTCGCGAAGGAAAATAAATCCGAGAGTCCGAGCGGATCACTCGGTTTCTCTTTTTTTCCCGGATTTTCTCGTGGCATTTGCACGGAAACGCGGCGCGCGGCACGCAGCCGCGTTTTCGATCGTGCGAACGCGATTTCGCGGTGGGAAATTACATCGGTTCGTTCCACCTTCGAAGAGCGCCTCGAGGTCGCGAGAAACGCGGTTGGTTCGACGCGACGAACGAGATCGGCGAACGGCATTGAGGTTTATTTACCGAGCCAACGCGAAGTCGCGTCGCCGAGTTATTCTGTTCTCGATCCGAACGGTTCTTATCTCGAGCGCCGATACGCGCCAACTGAAAAATGAAAAATCCATTTACCGTCGCGTTATCGCGCCGGATGGGTGATCGTTGCGCGATCGATTCGTCACCGCGACCACCGCGTGCGTCCGTGCCTCGTTCTTTCGAAGCAGGGAGAAATCGCCGCGACGATGCCCGTGTCCATGGTTCGGTTACTCGAATCTCGTCGGTCCGCGGTAACATTCCTAACGAGCGGCGGCGGCATTTCCTGGGATCGAGATACGAGCGGGTACGAACGAGCAGGAACGCGCCGGGAAGGGAACGATAGCCTGGATTCGAGTAATCTTCGCCGATAGAGATAACAATACTGGGAAAAGGTGGACGCGAAAAGCCGAACGGTACTCGGCTCCGTTCTTGCATCGTCTCGAGATCACGGTATAAACTTTTCTATTCCGTTACGTAATTATCGATGGAGTCGGAGTGAGAAGAAGAGAATGGGGAAAGGGGAATGGCCAATGGGGAAGAGATAAAGGAAAACGAACGGAGGATCGACGCGATCGAGAAGGAAGGCTGGAGGAGTGGAGGATTCGAGGAGCGGAGAGCGGCGACAGGTTGTTGGGTGTAACGCGTTTGTATATTACGCTTCGCAACACGTGCAAACGCCGCCGTTCCATGCGATATTCCGCAGAATATTTACAGAGAGCATTCGAGAAGGCTCATTGTCATCGGAGTTCGTTTCGTTTCGTTTCGTTTCGTTTCGACCCACCGGTCGGTCGGCAGAGGAACCCTCGGGGGTGAAAGTGTTACGTCACGAACACGCATCTTATTATGCCGGCCAACCGGCCGATTCGCGCAACACCGGCGAATAGCGAGCAAAAGATTTGGCGCTCTAAACCCCTCACTTGGTCCTGCGGGATCGTATCCGGCGCGATTACCGTGGACGCGTGGCGCAGCCTGCGCGCGCTTTTCCCTTTCGTTTCGACTTTGACGTATTCGGGTTACGTCCACCGCGAGAGTTACGCGCACCGAAACTCTTCGAGGTCGACGAGTCCGACGAAGGAAAGATAAGGAAACCGTAAGGAAACGGTGTCGGGACGAAATCGTTCCAAGTAAACGCGAGTGGAAGTCGGCGCGGCGACTCGTGTCGCGTTACGCCGTTCGTAGTTGGAGCGCGTCGCGAAAGAGTCTCGTTCCGGTTGACGAGTCGTTTCCGGTTCACTCTCGTCGCCGTATCGTTACCAGACCCTGTTACGCGACGAACTCGTATCGATTCGTACGCGATACGCGTATCGCCGTTGATTATACGCGTACCTACGGTTCCGAAGGTACCTGCCTAACGTGAGTCGCGCGAAACGCCTCAAAGATGTCGAAGAAACCTATGCCCCGAGAGAGCGAACCAATTAGAATCGAAGTAAACTCTTCGGAGTTTAGAAGATACAGATACGCCGGCGAGATACCCTCGTGGATCGTAGATGAAGAATGTTCGTTTGTTGGGAAAATATCGGGAGTCGTCGATCCGTTGCTCGCCAACGACGTTAATGCTCGAAGAAACGCGCGAAGACTGTTTCGCGAAGGAATTCCGCGACACACCCGTAGTAAAATATCGCGCGTAACCGGTAACGTACGCGCGGTCTCTGCAGCCTATCATTAAACGGAACGATCGGTCTTCCCCGGTTCCGTGCCCGGTTGACCAATGGTCGATCAACGGTTCACCGGTGGTTCAGCAACGCGAATCGCACCAACCGAGAAAGGAAAACGCGAAGAGAAATCCTCGAAAGGTTTTTCGATTCTCGCGCATCGATAAACTTCCGCTCTGGGAGAAGAGGATGTCCTCGTTTAGCCAACGATCGATCGGTGCTCCTTCGGAAATGGAATTTCAGCTGCGAACGCGTGGGAATAGTAACATTTGCTAATCGCGAGACACGATGCGGCAGTTTCTTTTTGTTCGTTCGGAGATGAACTTTCCGGGTGTCGTCCAGCTGGAACAACAGCCACTCGCCGGATCGTGCGTCGTTCTAACGAGTGGGCGCGTTTACGAGCGGCGTTGCATTAGTTTAGCGCGTTTCTTCGGCATTTCTTCGCCGTTTGTTCGGCTGCCGCGCAACCTCTCGAAGAGAAAGTAAGTGCAGCCGTAACGGTTAAGTCAAAATCGACGCTGTTAAAGGAATTACCGTTCGAACATCTTTTCTCCAATGTTCAGGCGTGTTTTGTTTCGGTTTGTTTCGGTTTGTTTCGGTTTGTTTCGCCGTTCGATTCGGAGCTCGGCGAGTCCGACAAATACAGCGACGCGTACGGCGACGTCGATTTAGGGGAAACCGGTTACCGATAACTCATCTTATCGAGACTCACCGCCTACGTCTCTACGGTTCTCGATCTTTTCGACCAAGCACTCGTTCTTTTTACCGCGACGCGTCACAGATTCGTCAACGAGATTGGTATTTCCGATCGGCGTACAATGACTAGGATGTTTCGCAATTTTCGCCCGAAGAGAGCGTCGCGCGTCGGATAACGTAACGGATCATCCGATAAGAAAAGAACACCACTGAAATGAGTGTACATCGCGCGTATATCATCAGTCGAAGATTTCACGCGAACTTTGAACCACGTTCTCGGTTTTCGGTTCTCCCGTTTCCGTCTATCGCGACACCGGAACAGTTTCGCGTTCAGTCGAACGGTTCACGCTCCGAGAGCTTCGAGAAGCACCGTCGAGTGTGTCGAGTCGCGAATCCGAAAGTGCGACGCGATTTCGATATTAAAGTTACGCAAGACTGGTATGCGCTCGAATAACAACTGGACAGCGGGAGCACGATGCGTCCGAAATGTCACTGGTTTTTCCTCCGCGTCCGTTCGAAACGTTCGATATGTTCGAAGAGTTCGAAATGTTCGAAAGCCTTTCGGAATACCGCTCCTCCGACCGTAAGTATCCTACCCGACAAGAGTACTCGTAGCTCGAAGCGATTCACGCACCGGCGAAAAGAACGGCGATAACGAAAGGCCGTCGTTCGGTGGTATCTCGTCGGATTCAGTGGCCTCGCCGAAAGAAACGTTCCGGATCGGAGAATCGCGTAACTTGGAATTCCTCGGTAATACCCATTACCGGTACACCTCTTCTTCTTTCTCTGACCGTTTGCTCCGCCGTTCGCTCCGCCGTTGGCGATTCTCTTTTACGGATCGTTCGACTTGTACCTTTCGTACCGTCCGTGTCGTTCCGCGAACAGCTCTTCCATGAAAGTTGTCGGCCAAAGGATCGAGCAGCACCGATTCAACCGCGGTCTCGATATCCCCCGTGAAAGATCGAAATTCGCGCGAGTCGTCCGAACGGTGGTGCGACCACGGGCTCACTGCCTTACTCGCGCGAATCGATACTCGCGAGATCGAGATCGCGCGTTAAGCTGGAATCGATCGAGGAGACGTAATCTCGGCGTCGACGGGTTGGAGCGCGCGCGATAAAAACGGAGACAGCCGTATTTTCTATAACGGGTAGTGGGTCAACGAGGTAACAGGCCGTCCATGGCTGGAGGCAAGGTTCGATACCGGATAAGCGTGCACCGTACTTCCGCCGGCACGACTCC